TAAACCACATTGGGTGCCTTCTCCCCACTCTCAGAAACTATATAAGCTGAGCTAAACCCATTAGTCGCTTTTCTGAGCTCGTTTAGACCATACTCTTTAAATTTACTCACTTGACACTCTTCATCACCCTGATCTCCATCCCTTTCAAAACAACACTAAACCATCAAAAAAACCAAAAATAAACATAAAAACAAACACAGAAGACATGTTCATCTAATGAAGAAAACAACAACCTTACAAGTGATGGTTTACGACGGCGGAGGAGGCGAAGTGACGACTTCACTGTTTATTGCTGCTACTAGGAACTGAAGAAACAACCGATGGAAGAGATTTCGACGATTTAGTGGAAGAGACTTGGCCGATTTGGTGGAGGAGATTTAGGGTTTACGGGCTGTGATTAATTTCGTGGAGGAGATTTGGGTGAAATAGATTTTGGTTTCTGGCGGCAGTCTGTTTCTTGCCCTATGTTTGACTTCGTAAAACTTTAGGGTGGAAGAGATTTGGGTGTTTTGGGCAGAAAAATTTGGCTTACCAAAATTTTAGCGTGGGAAGCCTTGCCCAAATTTGAGATTTCGTTTTTTTTTTTTTTTTTTTTTTTTTTTAAACTTAATCCACTGTCCAAGATTAAGAATATGCTAGTCTAGAAATGAACTTCATTTTTCCAAAATCCTTGACGGTTTTTAACTGTTAAGAATTAGGATTAAAACAATCAAAGAATGAAATTGAACAATTTAATTTTTACACGATCCTTGACTGTTAATTATTTGCTAACAATAAATTTTGTCAAAATTTATGTCAAAATTTTGGAAAAATGACCCTTAACCCCTAACCCCTAAACCTGAGACCTAAAACCCTAAACCCAAAACCTCAAACCCCAACCAAGAACTCGAAACCGCAAACCCCAAGCTCCAAACCCAAAACCCCTAACCTCGAAACCCCTAACTTGTGACCTCTAACCCCTAAACCCTAACCCTTGAACCCTGACTCCTGAACCCTGAACCCCAAGCCTCAAACCCTAAACCCAATCCGAACAACTGCTAGGATTGGTCATTGCGACGAGCTTGTTCTGGGTTGAGCTTGTTTTGGGTCGAGTTGATTATGTTTATTTGAAAAAGTATTATTGGTTAATGGTTAATAGGGGTAATTGTGATAGATTGATGGTCATAATCAATCAAAGACTGGTTTTGAGAGATAGATACTAGTGGAGGTGGAACATTGATTGTATTTTATTTGTAGTGAGGGTACTAGTTTGTATTTAGGTTGAAGGCCTTTAAAAATTAATCTTGAACTTAGGTATTGACAATTTCCGTGAACTTTCACAGCGAAATCTTGACAAACGGAGCAGCAAAAAGAGGAGGTGAAGGAACGAGTAGAAAGAGCAATTCACGATCTTTCGAAAGGTGAGTGGATTGACGGTTCCAACGTCGGACACGCCTAGAAGAAGCCGATGAAGTTTCGATTGTGGAGCAATTTGAGAGCCCTAACCCTACACAATCCTCCCTAAACCCAAACCTTAACCCCCTAAACTCTAACCCTAAATCCTAACCCTAGACCCTAAAACTAACCCTAAACTCTAAACCCTAAACCCTAAACTTGAACCCCAAAACCCTAACCCCGAAACCCTAACCCGAATCCTAAACCTAAACACTAAAACCTAAACTCAAAACCCTAACCCTAAACCCTAATTCTCCTAAACCCGAAATTCGAAACCCTAACCTAAACCCTAAAACCCAAAACCAAACCCAAAACCCCAAACCCAAACTCAAACCCTAAACTCTAAACTCAAACCGAACCGAATCCCAAAACCTACATGTACACCTGAAACCAGAAAACCTGAGACCGAAACCCTAAACCCTAAACCCTAAACCTCAAACCGCAAACCCCTAACCCCTGACCCTTGACCCTAAACCCTCACCCCTGAACCCTGACCCTTGAAACCTTAACCCCAAACTTTAAACCCTAAAACCTAAAACCCTAAACACATCCGAACAACTGTTAGGATTGGTCGTTGTGACGAGCTTCAATTGGATCAAGCTTACTTTGGACGTACTGATTCTAGGTCGAGCTTGTTCTGGGTTGAGCTTCTTCTAGGTTGAGCTTGTTCTGGGTCGAGTTGATATGTTTATTTGGAAACTATGAAAATTACTTACTCAGAAATTAATAAAATCTTGCATTTTTTTTTTTTTTCTAAGTACGTTAAAATTAATTGGACTTAAAAAATGAGATTAAATTTTGTAACTATTAATCAGATTCTCATTACCATAAAAAATGAGATAAATTTTGTAACCTTAATCAGATTCTCATTACCATTTCCATTCATATCCTTTTTCTACTCCAATTAAAAGCTGAAATGAAATTTCACTTCAAGTCCATTTCATGGGCTTTGGAATGTTCACAAAATATTTGATATTTTTCACCCATTCGTGGGCTTTGTTTTACCCGGTGGGTTGGGATTTGGGTGGAATAGATTGGTTTTTGGCGGCAGTCTGTTCTTGCCCTACGTTGACTTCGCAAAACTTTAGGGTGGAAGAGATTTGGGTGTTTTGGGCAAACATTTGGCTTACCAAAATTTTAGCGTGGGAAGCTTGCCCAAATTTGAGATTTCGTTTTTTTTTTTTTTTTTTTTTTTTTTAACTTAATCCACTGTCCAAGATTAAGAATATGCTAGTCTAGAAATGAACTTCATTTTTCCAAAATCCTTGACGGTTTTTAACTGTTAAGAATTAGGATTAAAACAATCAAAGAATGAAATTGAACAATTTAATTTTTACACGATCCTTGACTGTTAATTATTTGCTAACAATAAATTTTGTCAAAATTTATGTCAAAATTTTGGAAAAATGACCCTTAACCCCTAACCCCTAAACCTGAGACCTAAAACCCTAAACCCAAAACCTCAAACCCCAACCAAGAACTCGAAACCGCAAACCCCAAGCTCCAAACCCAAAACCCCTAACCTCGAAACCCCTAACTTGTGACCTCTAACCCCTAAACCCTAACCCTTGAACCCTGACTCCTGAACCCTGAACCCCAAGCCTCAAACCCTAAACCCAATCCGAACAACTGCTAGGATTGGTCATTGCGACGAGCTTGTTCTAGGTTGAGCTTGTTTTGGGTCGAGTTGATTATGTTTATTTGAAAAAGTATTATTGGTTAATTGTTAATAAGGGTAATTGTGATAGATTGATGGTCATAATCAATCAAAGACTGGTTTTGAGAGATAGATACTAGTGGAGGTGGAACATTGATTGTATTTTATTTGTAGTGAGGGTACTAGTTTGTATTTAGGTTGAAGGCCTTTAAAAATTAATCTTGAACTCTAGGTCTGCAATTTCCGTGAACTTTCACAGCGAAATCTTGACAAACGGAGCAGCAAAAAGAGGAGGTGAAGGAACGAGTAGAAAGAGCACTTCACGATCTTTCGAAAGGTGAGTGGATTGACGGATTCCAACGCCGGACGCGCCTAGAAGAAGCCGATGAAGTTCCGACAGTGGGAGCAATTTGAGAGCCCTAAACCCTAAACAATCCCTCTCTAAACCTAAACCTTAACCCCCTAAACCCTAACCCCTAGACCCTAAACTCTAAACTCGAACCCCAAAACCCTAACCCCGAAACCCTAAAACCCTAAACCCAAAACCCTAACCCCTAATTCCCCTAAACCCGAAACTCGAAATTCGAAACCCTAACCCTAAACCCTAAAAACCCAAAACCCAAACCCTAAACCCCAAACTCAAACTCAAATCTTAAACCCTAAACTCTAAACCGAACCTAAATCCCAAAACCGTACTCTGTACACCTAAAACCAGAAAACCTAAGACGCGAAACCCTAAACCCTAAACCTCAAACCCCAAACCACGAACTCGAAACCGTAAACCCCTAACCCCTAACCCCTGACCTCTAAACCCTCACCCCTGAACCCTGACCCTTGACACCTGAACCCCAAACCCCAAACCCTAAACCCTAAAACCTTAAACCCTAAACCCTAAACTCAATCTGAATAGCTGTTAGGATTGGTCATTGCAACGAGCTTCAATTGGATCAAGCTTACTTTAGACTGTACTGATTCTAGGCCGAGCTTGTTCTGGGTTGAGCTTGTTCTAGGTTGAGCTTGTTCTGGGTCGAGTTGATTATGTTTATTTGAAAAAGTATTATTGGTTAATTGTTAATAAGGGTAATTGTGATAGATTGATTGTCATAATCAATCAAATACTGATTTTGAGAGACAGATACTAATGGAGGTGGAACATTGATTGTCTTTTATTTGTAGTGAGGGTACTAGTTTGAATTTAGGTTGAAGGCCTTTAAAAATTAATCAAATTAATCTTGAGTATGTCGTCTTTAATTTGGAAACTGTGAAAATTACTTACTCAAGAAATTAATAAAATCTTGCATTTCTTTTTATTTTATTTTTTCTAATTACGTTAAAATTAAATTGGACTTAAAAAATGAGATTAAATTTTGTAACCTATTAATCAGATTCTCATTACCATTTCCATTCATATTCCTTTTTCTATTCCAATTAAAAGCTGAAATGAAATTTCACTTCAGGTCCATTTCATTGGGCTTTGGAATGTTCACAAATATATGTGACATTTTTCACCCATTCGTGGGCTTTGTTTTGTACCCTTTGGGTTGGGCTTGGGGTTAATAACTTGCATAAAGAAACATAACTTTCACCAGGATCTCTCTTCACTCCCCCTCTGTATACAAATATTTATAGCCTATATTCAATTTCAATTACGTAATAAAAGTAGTAATTGATATTGCTCAAGCATTTGGGGTTTGGGGTTTTTAATCAAGCTTCACGCTCTAGAATAAAGTTTCAATCGTTCATAACCCTACTATCCAGGATACAGTTAAGTTATTATGAGTTGACCGGTACAGTCATAGGAAAGTTCAAGGAAAGAAGCAAGAGAAGTGGAGCCCACGCGGTTATGATATCAATATGTGTGATGATATCAATATTAATTAAATATCTTGCTTCATTCAAACTTTCCTAAATTTCAACTTGGAAGAAAAAGAAAGAGAGAAAAGGTTTCTGGTCTAATATATACAAACCAACTAAAAGGTGGTATTGTTGCTGGGCATTAGAAAATTCAAATAACGCGTACCCAATACCATTCATTCATTTACAAATCTATCATCTCTTATTCATATACTCATCCACACAAACAACCCTGTCCTTCAATTTGTATTTTATATTACTGGCTTCTGCTGCACCCATCTTCATCCTTGAGACTTGACCTTAGGAATTTGTTTTATTCGAGTTTTTATTGTGTTATTTATGTTTGGAGCGTTTTGAGAGATGAGTAAGCCATCTGTTGCAAGTGTTTCTCGGGCCGGCCCAAGTACCAGCAGCGTCTTTTCCAAGATCAAGGTACTAATTTTTCTCTTCAAACTGAAAATTGAGATTATTCTGTTCTTGCCTTGCATCTCATCTCGAATTTCAATCATTAATCAACAGAAAATTACTAGATGTGATGAATTCCTTGGAATTCGAATTTTCCGTTGACTTGCTGATTGATTTTTATTGCAGATTTGTACTTGTATTAATTCTTCATCATCAGATACTGGTAAAGGAAGGTGTAAGTCTTCCAGTAATAAAGTGTCACATGGATACCACTTGGTGGAAGGCCAATCTGGGCATGACATGGAAGACTACCTTGTTGCCGAATACAGGAATAGGAAGAATCACGTGCTCGGTCTATTTGCCATCTTCGACGGTCACCTCGGAGATCGTGTACCTACTTATCTGAAAGATAACCTTTTCAACAATATACTGGTAGAGGTAAGCGTTCCTTTCATTGGTTTGTTTCTTTTCATTTTCCATGTCTTTCAAATATATTAACTATTTTTCTTGTGTTCCACAGCCAAATTTCTGGAGAGATCCTAAAACAGCAATTGAGAATGCATACCGCTCCACTGATAAGTTTATATTGGAAAATTCTATGCAATTAGGCACTGGTGGTTCCACTGCAGTAACTGCTATTGTCATTGATGGCAAAGATTTATGGGTGGCTAACGTTGGTGATTCAAGAGCTGTGGTTTGTGAGAGGGGCTCTGCCAATCAATTAACAGTTGACCATGAGCCTCATGCTGAAAGAAGAAGGATTGAGAAGAAGGGCGGTTTTGTGACTACTCTTCCTGGTAATATTCCTTTATCTCTCTTGCTACCAATACATTTATTTTGTGCTTCCTCTGGGAAATAGGTTTCGCTTTTCTTATATTTTGTCAAAATACTGATACTAAATGTGTTTTCCCTGTATTCACATTTTCAAAACATCTAAAATTGCTAGTACAGAAGTTAACTTGTTCAATATTCTCCAATTGAAGCAAAGGATGCGGTATTTTCGTAAATTCACATGGATATATAAATTACACAATTTATAATTTTTATTTACTACAAAATTAGGGAATCGTAGTGTAGCCTCTAATAAAATCCTTATTAGTTATGCATATTAGATGCTTTGGAGCCCATAAAAGTTGAATCTAAAATAAATATAATATAAGGAATTGATATAACCTTTCAAAAATATTTTCGGACCCCTAACGAAAGTTATTCCTAATCAATAATGCATTAAGTAAACCATGGTCAGTCAACAAATAACATGGTCCTTTAGTTGGGGAAAAGATTTTATGTCTGTAAATCCACTTGTTACAATAACAAGAACTGCATAATTATGGTTTTTAAAATTGTACGGTAAAGGAGCAATAAAAAAAATCTTTGGTTAAGTCAATGGTCTGTTGATCTTTCAAAATGATCTCTTCAAACTAATTGACTGAGTATAATTCTTGCTTTGTAACTTTCAAATTATTATTTTTGGCTCACAGTATACTGATGGAAGCACCCATTTTGCATTCTGGTGGATATATTATAGACAAATACTATTGAAAATTTAGGTGATCTAAGATTAAGACAAACCTATATTCTAAATGAAGATCAGTGGAAACTATAATGATTTAATTGGAAAGAACTTTTCTGAGGTTTCATTAGAATTGATAAAATACAAACTCTTATTTCAGGTGATGTGCCCAGGGTTAATGGTCAACTTGCAGTTGCACGCGCTTTTGGAGATCAAAGCCTGAAAGCACATTTAAGTTCAGATCCTGATGTAAGACATGTGCCAATAGACACAACTATCGAGTTTCTTATATTGGCAAGCGATGGATTGTGGAAGGTTAGTTGTTATAGCAGCTTCTGGTGCTTCTAGTCTATCTGAACGCCACCTGCCCCCATTTTTCTTTTTCATATTTTGCTTGATCTCCATCTTTCATTGCATATTTTTGCCAGCAAATTGGAACTCAGGCTAAAAGGTTCATGAGTTTTTTGTAACATTATCGAACTGACCTGTTGACTAGTAGAATTTGGAATCATCTATGTTTATAGAGAATTGAATTTTCCCCTGTTTATAGGACTTAATATGTTAAATGTAAATCATACTTAAAAGTGACATAAGATTTTATCAATGTAGGTAGGTTGTGAAGAGTTAATTGTATGTAAATGATTTTCTGACGCAGAATCAAAAGGGCATCTTGAAATCTTGTTCATTTCCATTATATGCAGCACGTGAGTATCAAAGTCTTCAGAGGAGGCACTTGAGGGGTTTGGATTAGGATCTGTGATTTGATATCATGTTATTACTTGACCTAAAAGCTTAAATTAATAGGTAAAAGCTCAAACACTAGTATTAGGCCTCTAGCAAATAGGATATTTAATTATAGGAGTAATTTTCAAAGACTAGAGCCAAAATCATGGAACTTAGAGCAATGGAGAAGAATTTTTGGTGTTAGGAAAAGGCTGCTAAGTAGCTATGACAGTCTATATGTTGATGGCATGGTTTTTATCATGTTTGTTATTTGTAGAATTCTTAGTTCTTTATGCTTTAGAAATTCTATTCATATTGAGATAAATAAGAATGATGTAGGGGTACCTTGTAAATTTTAGTGTTTTTGAATTAGATTGTGGATTTAAATAGCCAAAATACCCCTTATTTGAAGGGATTGCAAAATTTATGGTTGTACCTTGTTAGATGTTGTCAATCTGTGGTGAATATTGCTAAATTTAGCCGGGGAGTTGGTAAATTACAAATAATTGTGTACAGTTACTTGAACTGCTAAACTCAAAAGCTTAAGTTTATTGGTTGTGATTGAGCATAATGCTTAAGGTGCAGTATGTTTCATATGTAAATCGACCCTAACTGTAACCGCAACTGCAACTTGTATACTTTTAATTAATACAACAGATTTGATCATGAGATCATTTGATCAACTTGATTTTGATAATATGGATTATTGGGGGATATGTGAATCTGTAATAGCATGAAGGTGCTGTTTCATGTAAAAAATGCTACCGAGAAATTATAGTACAATAACTGGTATGACCTTGTCGACAGGTTATGAAGAACCAAGAGGCAGTGGATATTGTCAAACCTATAAAGGATCCTCAAGCTGCAGCTAAACGTCTAACAATGGAAGCTTTGGCAAGAAAGAGTAAAGATGATATATCATGCATTGTAATCCGATTTGGATAATTGCAATGTTATGGGGAGTAATAGCTCAAGGGCCAGTGGATGGAAATAGGAGCATTAATTGGGTAAGAAAAACTTTATATGTATGTAGTATAGCTTTTTTGGATTAGAGAATCTTGGTAGAGCAAGTTGATATAGCAGTGTGATGCTTTTTTTTTTTTTTTTCTCCAACTGAAGAAATATCCTCAGAAATCCATCAGCCACTTCCTTGCGTATATCTGATTGTTTCTGGGGCAGGGTGCAATTAATGAGGCTACTTCTTCAATTGGCTCTGATAGAATAGAAAGAAAGATTGATTTTAATAGTGTGTATACAATGTAGACATAAATAAAAGATACGGTATTGAAACCTCCTTGTAAGCTGTTGTGATAGGTATATGTATTCTTGTTTGTGCCAAATTAGTGATGTAGATTTTGAGGCATTAAATTATTTCGGTAGGTATATTCACGTCTTTATTTTTTCTTTATAGTAATTTTCTATATTAATTATAAATGTTTGAAATATGTATAAAGATTGGCCAAAAATCAATTACCTCCCTTGGTCTTTGTTAAATAATCAGTTGGATGTAAATTGTTCATGTTTTAATAAAATTCTTCCAAAAGTTTACAGAAATTCATGGCCACTCCAAAATAACAAATTCTATTAATAATTGTGCTAAAGTCAGATTTACTTAGAAAACATTTTAATAAAACAAAGTAAACAAGAGGCTAAAGCAAACCATACCTTTAGGTGCATTTAGTTCAGAACATATTGTATTAGTAGGAATGTTGTATTACTGGAAAGATATATCTTGAAGATTATTAAAAAAGTTTAGGAAAATATGTTTGGTTATGTTAGAATAAATTTGTGGATATGTTATATAAATTATTAAATTGCTCTCCTTTTAAAATATTAATATAATATTATTTTTTTAATCATTATTTTAACCCTGTAATTGGAGATTTTGCTAAAACACCTAGCCACATAAAAGTTTAATTTCTAACGAAATCACGTCCACCCACCCCAAGTTATTGCCAACCGTCGACAGTCGTCAGAACGATGCACGATTGGCCAGATCAATGGCAGTTAACGACTAGATTTATGGCCATTAGCAACTATGGATCTGGCTATTAACGGTCAAATCTATTTCGGTGTTGGATCTAGTCACTCACGGTCGTGGATCTAGTTGTTTTCGACCAGATCTACAATCATTTAGTCATCGATCTAGCTGAAAATGGCCAAATTGGTGCACGGTAAGCCAAATCCGACCAATCATGCGTCGTTCCGACAACGTCAGCGGACGGTTGCCACCAACCATCGACGGTGGTGGCAGGCAGGCGGTAGTGGTCCTAAGTGGTTTGCAATTTATTTTAAATGCCAAGTAATCTTAAAATATTTAAGAAAATGAAAGTATTCAAGGGTGCATTTCGTTTATTATTTTGGATAGGATTTTGGGGATAATATTGGATAATTGAATATGGGAGTATTACGAGGTAAAATTTAAAAATTTATAAAAAAACCCCCTAAGTTTGCTAATTTAATAAATACCTCAACATGTAAAATGACAAAAATACCCCCACCACCTGTAGTGCCAGATTCCGGCCACCACCGTCGGAATCTGGCCGAAAAATTGTGTTACAACATAGACCGGTCGGATCTGTGTCGTAACGCGTCGTTATAGCCTTTTTCGGCCAGATCCACCACGGATCTAACCGGAAAATGCCAGATCTAAGGCTTGCCGTCGCCGTCGACGGCCGAAAAAGGCCAAAACGACGGCCATCTTTGACTGTCAGTGACGGCCAAAGATATGGCCGTCGTTTTCGGTCAACGATGGCCAAGATTTGACCGTCGTTCACGGCCAGATCGGTAAACTTTCGACTATTTATGGTCGTCAGGTAGGCCGTTGTACAGATTCCAACTACCACCGACGGTGGTTGCCGGAATCTGGCAAGTATGGGTCGCGAGGGTGTTTTTGATAATTTTTAAACTTTTTTTTAGGGTGTATTTGATAAAATTAATAACCTTATAGGGTCTAAAAGTAATTAAAAAAATAAAGTAATATTTTTGGAATAATGTGCCAAACATTATTTGGAGAATAGGATTAGGAATAGGGATAAAAATAATAAGTCAAACATGGCCCAAATTATCACTTATATAATTGATAGTAATTATTATTGATTTTCATAGATTACTGAAATGTTATATAACTTAACAGTCAAACGTGATAATCTAAGTAATATAAAATTAACATTACTTTAGTACCGAGGAATAACCCTCAATCAAACGCCCTTTAAGAAAATTTGTGCTACGTTGGAAATCTGCATCAAGATTGCAACAAATTTATACTCATTCCAAACTTAATATTTCCAGCATCAGCCGATAAATTGTGTTGATACACAAACTTCTAGACCCACTTTAATTTGCAACCTTTGACTTAATTTATCTCGTCATCGGAATCAGAATTGTGAAGAACTTGATACAACAGTTAACTTGTGGTTATCCTTCTTTAAAATTTTCCCAATATTGGGGGTATGAAAAATATATTCGTCCATTGCATCCTATTGGATCTGCATAGCCTCATTAAACCCAGAGCCAGCCAACCTCCCTCCGCGTCTCAAATCTCAAGATCTAACCGAGGGACAAACCTAGTGGCCCACATCACACGTAGAGATATTCCCATCCAGCCCGTCCCAGTATGTTTGATCTTTTAGCTGACATTATTATTATTATTGTCATTTTCCATCCTAAATGATACGAAGAGTGTGTATTGCTTTGCTTCCATCTCCAGCAAGAAAAAGATAATATTATATCACACGTATTTTTGAACATTTAACTTTCAAAACCATAGTGGGTCCTAGACTCCTAGCTTATATTAACTTTTTTCTAGAACTTTTAGCATGGATCTTGCATGTTAATATGGCTTTATCTTCAGAAAATATTGTAGGTTCAAGAGAGCACATGGACAAGTAATGTCTCTGCTTTTCTTCACGCATTCCAAAAACATAAGAGTTAAGACATGAAAAATTTATGAATCTCTAATTAAAACCCAATTATACACAATACTCGTATAACAAATTTAGTTCAGGTATTCAAGACACTCGTTACTCGTACCACATACATAATAAGAATACCGAAGATAATTAACAGAGGTGATGGAATATATATTATTGCTACACAGCAATCTCTTAGAAAGAAAATATAGAAAATAAATTAATAAAAAATAAAATACTGCTTAACAAAAAACACACAATATAGAAGGGATCATTGCTGCACTGCACTGGGTTATGCCCCACTAATTGTTGCAACAAAAGAATGTAAATATCTCGCATTTAGGTTTCTCTGAATTTGAAACAGTCATTTAGAACGGTTAGTAATAGGGGATTACAGGGGGAGGAGGAGAGGCGTATGACACTCCAACAATTGGTGGCAATGGTGTGTTGTCATGTGAGGGTGGTGGTGGTGGCGGTGTGTTTTCATAGTGGGTGGGTGTGGGTGGGGGCGGAGGACTTTGGTTATGCCATGATGGTGGATGGGAATGTTGTTTAGGTGGTGCTGCATATGGTGATGGCATTGAGTGGTGGCTTGGTGGTGGTGGTTCTGGAATGACGCAGCCAGTTGATGGAGGTGGTGATGGCGGTTGAGCTGATTCAGGAGGTGGATTTCCTGTCTTTGGTGGGTAATGCTCTGATGGTGGTGGTGGTGTTGACTGCTCATATTTTGGTGGTGGTGGCGGTCTGTAAGTATGATAACTTGGCACAGGAGCCTCAGCTGAATCACTTGGTGGAGGTGCCGTATGTTGAATGGGAGGCGGGTAGTATTCAACAGGTGTTGGTGGTGGTGGTGGAGCATAATGAGTACTTGGGGATACTTTCTTTGTAGGAGGTGGAGGTGATGTATTATGTTGATGAGTTGGTGGTGTTATATGTTGATAAGGAGGGGGTGGAGGTCTATGATTGGGCTTGGGGGAAACCTGATATACTGGTGGAGGAGGTGGTGGAAGATTGGTTCTTGGTGACACCCTGTGAGTAGGAGGTGGTGGTGATCCAAAATGAGAGTAGGTTGGTGGAGGAGGAGAAGGTGGTGAATGGTATGATTTGGGAGGTGGCGGAGGATGTGATCTTGTTGAAGGTGAAGACTTTGAAGTAGGAGGTGGTGGGGATGGACTAACAAACGGTCTAGGTGAGTGAGCTCGACTTGGTGCAGGTGGCTTTCCAACGGGGGGGCTTCTCTTTGATTGTGGGGGAGGCGACAATCTTGGCACGGGGCTTGATGAACCTCCGCCGCCGCCTCCTCCTCCTCCACCGCTGTTGCTACATTGCAACTTGCTGCAGTCCACTGGACGTGCTGCGCCTGAGGAACATTCTTTAGAGGATCGCTGATCGGACTTGCCGGGAATGCAATTCATAGTACCGTCGTTGACCACCTTTCCTCCAGTAGTAGTAGCAGCACAACTTGGTGGCTCTCCCGTGAAATAGTTGAAAGAGTAGGTGAAGTTCTGCAAGTTTGGAAGCTGGCAGATAGTTGAGGGTATAACACCTGTGAAGCTGTTGTGGGCAACATCGAGCTGTTCCAAGCTCTTCATGTTGCCGATGCTTGATGGTAGAGATCCCTGTAGATGATTGTAGCTCACATCAAATACCGTTACATTCTTAAGCATTCCGATCTGGGGAGGTAAACAGCCTGTGAGGTTGTCATTCATGAGAATGATTTCGTTTAAAGTCTTTCCCATCTTTCCAATGCTACTTGGAATACAACCACCAAGATCATTGTTGGCAAATACTAAGACAGACACAGGAGAGTTTCCAAGATTCTCAGGGATTCCAAAACGGAACCTGTTGTCATTTAAGAATATGGCGTCTAGATCCTTGTCAAACAGCTTTGATGGAACCGAACCTTCAAACTCATTGAACCGAAGGTCTAAATACCTGAGTTGTGGAAGCGAAAGAACCACCTCAGGAAACTTGCCAACGAAACGATTGTTACTCAGGTCGAGCTCGTAGAGGAGCTTCAAGCGGCGAAAACTTGTGGGGACAACCCCGCAGAATCTGTTGGAGTTGATATGGAAGATAGCAAGATCTGTGAGTCTGCCGAGCTCAGGTGGAAGGTAGCCAGCAATATCAGCATGATTGAGATCAATGCTTGCAACAACCCTGATGGAGGAATTGGAGGGAGAAGGTGCACAGAAAACACCCATGTAGGAGCAAACATCAGAGCCATTCCAGTTGGAGGTGAAGTTGAATGGGTCAGAATAAATGGCATCTTTCCAAGCTTGCAAAGCAATGTAGGCTTCGCGTAGTCTTGGGTTTTCAAAGTTGAGATTTGGATCTACATTGTCATGGGCTGCAGAGGAGATCTGAAAGAAGAAAGAGGAAGCAAGGAAGAAGAGAATGAATAAGAGACGAGGAGGAGACATTGCAAATGGCAGAGCCAGAAAGTCACATGAAGGAGAGTGTTTGTATCATGAGATGTGATACGCTGGACGGTGTGCCAAACCCATCTCCCTATGCTTTGTTTTATAAACTCTTTTTTAAGCCTTGGTTGACGGTGGTTTGTTTTTTAACCTCTATTCTATTCTTGTTTATTATGTTTTAGTTTTACTTTGAGAAAAATAAATAAATAATGACATGATGGCACGTCTAGTAGAAGATTTGGAAAGAATAAAAACCAGACCCAATTTGAGTCTGAGAGAGTCAACATTGATGATGAGTCAGCTGGAGGTTTGTGAACGTGTCAGGCACTGTCTTTATCAGTTACCCCAGTGACTTGGACCAAGTGGAAAAAATAGAATTACACCTTTTGCAGTATGTGTGTATGCACTTACTGTAATCCGAAAGAGCCAAGAGGGCGGCATGCCTAAAGTAATTATGTTGTTTAGCATCTTCTCTAAAATAAGTCCAATATGAATAACGCGTCATATATAATTGTGTCTGACATTTAAATATTACACTCAGCTCGTATTATTGAGTAAGGAGGTGGGGTTAACGAAATGCGTTTAGTTTTTGATGCAGTAAAAGATATATGTGTCAATATTCAAGATGATGGACGAAGAGGAACAGAGTTATGTTGTGTTAAATAAGAAAGTGATGAGCTAAACTCAACTCAAGAGTGTTTGTTTTTTTGTTGTTAATTTTGCCAGAGGGGACAGGGGGTGTCCCATTATACACTGTCTGCACGATCTTTAAGACCTTTTCAAAAAATTTCGAATCAATTTCAAATTGAAACCGCGTTTGATTACACGCTTTAGCTTTAAATTTTTATCTACAAAAACGTGGCTGGATGAAATTTTTATGTCAATCTGACAACATTCAATTAATAAAATAATTTAACATTTATGATATCTACATATCTATTTCGAATCTTCAATCTAATCTACCAGCAGCTCCGCATTGAATAAATAAGAAATGTATCTACAGTCTCTGCCCTTACATTGGATTACCATCGCCTTCTTAAACCTATGACTATGTATTTTGTATTGTATAAATATACATAAAGCACACGCCCAAAGAGAGTCATTGGAAAACCAAATGAGGTTTAGGTTAATCAAAAAAACAGATCCCTTCTTTTCTAATTTCATTACAATCTAACAGCAGCTAATACCNCAATCTGACAACATTCAATTAATAAAATAATTTAACATTTATGATATCTACATATCTATTTCGAATCTTCAATCTAATCTACCAGTAGCTCCCCATTGAATAAATAAGAAATGTATCTACAGTCTCTGCCCTTACATTGGATTACCATCGCCTTCTTAAACCTATGACTATGTATTTTGTATTGTATAAATATACATAAAGCACACGCCCAAAGAGAGTCATTGGAAAACCAAATGAGGTTTAGGTTAATCAAAAACAGATCCCTTCTTTTCTAATTTCATTACAATCTAACAGCAGCTAATACCGTTACCAGTGAGCTTTTGTATTTGTAAGCAATCTTCACATGTCATTCCATGCAAAATGCATCTGGCGGTGCTTCTTCTGGAATCTGATCTAGAGAAAAAGAAATATGTATCAGACAACTGCCAAACAAAATGGACAATTTTTCATCAATTATTTGTCACTAAACCTAAACATTCTTAAAGTAATCTACCTCTCCAGGAATCCATTTCTCTTTTAACCAAACACTTGAATCGCCTGTGACACTTTCACTTTGCAAGTTCTTCCTGTAGGATTCAGAAGACAAGCCAAAGATAACTATTAACATTCTGAGAAAAAAAAAAAGAAATCAGCATGCAGCTAAACGTTTACAAATTCTATCAATAACAAATCTTGAGTTGCTATCAAACAAAAGAGAAGTCGAGATGACTGATGGTTAAGCCAATGAGAGAACTCATATTTGAAATTTTGATGGTACAACTCTTGGTAACAAAACAAGTTTCAAGCTAAAACAAGTAACTTTGTATTGAGAAATTCAGTGGTTTCAAAATGTTCATTAACAAAAATCAAAAGAGGTCATAATAATTATTTCATTTAGTGAAAAATAGTTGAATTATGACAACAAAATTTCTTTCATTGAAACTTGGAAATTCTTGAAAAATTCTTTTTAAAGGATTAAAAATATAACTTGTCAAGAAACTCACATTAACTGAATGTTCACAGTTGCTTGCTCAGCTGCATTTGAAGATGAAACAGGGGCACCAGGGAGGGCAGTCTGATTACCAAATGACAATGAGCTAAAATTATTGGTTGACATTGATGGATTGGAAAATTTGTTGCTTCCGGCACCAATTACTCCACTGTTGCCAAAGCCTGTCATGTTTGAGGTAAAGGAACTTCTGACTGACTGCGCTGAAAGTTGGCTACCGAATGGACCTATCATATGACCAGTAGACAGAAGCCATATATAAATGTTGTGCATGAGCAATATCAAATAATCAAACATTCATAATTGTACCAGCGCTAGCAGATGGCAAATTGTTTGTCCCAAATATACTTGATGTCTGGCTAGAATATGAGTTATTAGTTGGTTGTCCAAAGGCATTATTTGATGGTGTCGATGGCCTGAGAATAAGAAATAGATGAGTTACTAAAATCCTTCAGTAAGCTTGGAATCAGGATTTAGTATATTCTATAAACTACAGCAGTAGCTATTGTATATTACAATCCAACAGATACTATGGTTTCCATGAAGATGAGAACAAAGTCAGATTCTAGGAGTGATTCTTGCCTCGTTCCAAACCCCATATTAACCGATGATCCTAGTTGACTAAAACTGGAAACTGAAGGAGGGGCATTGTTTTGAGGGGTTGAAGAGTGTTCGCTTTGAGTGGCCACAAGAAATTGTCTTTGGCTAGCAAGACCAGGGTTGACGGGCCCTGTATAGGGATTGCGAAGAAGATTGTCAAACTCAATTAACTTGGAATTGAGTAAATTCCTTTCTCTCTCAACCTGTAACAAGATTTGTTTAATCATCATGTTAGCAAAGAAAGAAATGTTTCTGCAACATCTACAAATCTAATTTCTAATAACAATACCAGAAGTTAGTCTTTAACAAATTATTTTCACCAAATGTTTTTATTTGGCAATGCCCACCAAGTATTTACTCAAATGCAATTCAAAATTACAGAACTCTAAAGTAATATCTTAAGAAGGATGTACCAACATAAAATTTGAGAAAAAAAATCTATGCACTAATAGAATTTCAACAGCTGCACAAAATGAGAAGTGAAAATGTATTATAAACAATTATGAACATGGAATTGTGTAAGCAAAAATTATGGTTTGCCAGATTTTCTTACTATAGACTGCAAGTTCAACCCACGCTTAGCATCATCATATGCTGCTGCCCGCAATTCTTCATAGCTAACATCACCAACAATGTCACATGGAGCACTGCAATCAAAAGACTAAAGTTTAGAATGCAAGGGGTCATCCCAATTTGTTCTCATGATTACCATAAAGAAGCAGAGCCTAGTATTCTTGGTGTAATCTGAATAGGGACAAAAGGATATTAGAGCAGCAAATAATGCTCACTATATCATTTATTTTCTTCAGAGGATGGGGTTGTACTTGGACAGTTACAAACTATGCCAGACCATGATTTTCACTTGGTAATATATACATCAATTCCATTTCATATAAAAAATTATTAGTGAAAAGATTGGTTTCTATAATTGTTAATATACTGCTATATATGATTGACACATGCTAAAGGACAGCAGTTCGAAGTTGCAACTTCGTACATGTTCATCAAATATATTTAGCTAAACCACACTAAGAAGATGAATTTAGAATCATTTACTTCACCAAGTTAAAATGACTTGATGAATCATATGAACTGTCAACACTCAACCTCTCCAGAGCTAGGATTGCAAATGCACCTACCGCCAGATTTGCCCAATTAGAGGTGGAAAAGACAAAGCACATGGAACTAGTGAACGAATTTGCAGGGATTTTTGTTGGCAACGTTGTAGGCCCAATATATCATTCTCAAAGGGCAAAGATTTTACCAATAGTTGTATTCACTTACCCTTTCAATAAAGTTCTAATATCTAAAATCATTGAGTTAGAGCAACACAATAGCATCAACCACACTTCCACTTGTTGCATCCATTTGCAAAATAATGAAAGTTGTTATAGAAACTAATCCTCTTCTTCAAAGTTACAGAGGAAAACTCAAGAAAAATTCATTACACATAAAAAATTATAAAATTCAAAGCCAGATCAGCAACAGCAGAAAATGAGAACAAAGTCTGAATCTTTCAATTTAAAAGACTATTGATGATGCAAATAGTAAAGCATACTTTTTCCAGTGAGAGTAGCACGTAAGCTTCCAAAGTGGGCTCTCGTGCTCAAAATCTTCAGCGATTAAGCGTTTGCAAGATTCAGGATCTGTGCATCTTTGATTCACATTTTGTCAGATACAATACTCAAGTCAGAAGAAAAACAAAAGTAAAAAGCTGCAAACAGAAATTAGTAAACCATTGGATCGACTACTCACTTGTGATTTGTTGACTGGGAATGATTTTCAGGTTGTCGTGATGACGATGGGGCACCACTTGTAGGTATGGGGGAGAATCGACTCCACTTGTTCTCAAAAGGCTGATCCAAAATAAATTATGTCATGAATTTAGACTTTTCTTCTTTGTTAGTTCACAAGGAAGCACTGAAGTCATCTAAAATTTATCTTAACAAATTGTCAATGGAAAGCTTCCATACAACTGATAGAACTTACTAGGAAGAGAACAAACCTTGAATTGATTCTGTTTATTGCCAAAATTATTGGGTCCTTTCGACTGAGGGCTGTTCTGAACACCAAATCCAAAAGGATTGGACTTTTGTTGGTGCTGCTGCGAGGCAGCCTGCGTGCCAAATCCAATGGCGTTAGATTTTGGGTGTTGCTGAGTAACATGAAGAAATTTACATCTTTCACCATACTGACAGCTGGAACAGGAAAAGCAAAAATTACGAATGAAATATGAAGTAGATATTCAACTTATAAAAAGCCCATCTTTGGACCAGATTTATCTTCCAGTTCTTAACAAAATCTCCAGAAAAATTTTAATAACAATAAAAAACAAAAAAACAAAAAAAAATTTACTAGATTCTGGTGATAAACAAATAAAAGAATCAATAACATGGAGAAATACACGTTCAATGACAGTCAATGTTATGAATCTATTCCTGCGACTAATAGTAGGAGAGAAGAAATTACCTGCCGCGCTGAAAATTTCTGCAGAGTTCTTTTCTAAACTGCATCTTCTCCCTCTGTCTCTATGTCTACACTAACTAATTACTACTGGAAACTGCTCTCTTTCTCTTATACTGCCCAGTGCCCAGTGCCCGCCAAACCCCTCAAACTGACTCAAAACCCCCACAATTTGATTCTCTACTTTTTAATTTAAAGATTATTTACTTGATTTTTCTAAGAAAATAAATAGCACGCACTTAAAATTATCAACTCACAAACATACCTATTTTAGTTTTTAATATCTTTATTTCTTTTATTTACCCTGCCTATATATATATTGTTTCCTGTTTTATGATATTACTGGGGTGTTTAATCCAGGTTATGATGTGATTTTGAGTAATTTTATTTAAGTAACATACGAGTTAACCACTTTTTCATATCCAAATAATAGTGTAATGATATTTTTTCAGACTTTTAAAATATCACTTTATTACCTAAATTTATATTCCAGTGATGAATAGAGAGTAAACTCGATATAGACTATTGAGGCTTTTGAAGAAGAGAAGTCGATAAATCTTTTGGTGATAGAATGTTGGATTTTAATAACTGGGATTAATCAGAATTTGACTTAGGAGGGGCGATTGCATAAACCCTAATCAATTGATTGCCGGCAATTGGTGATGTTAGTGAGAGTAGGGTTTGAAGGACTTTGGCGAGTGATAATCAAGAAAGAGAATTGTGGTAGTGTGAGGTTGTAACGATGTCGAAATTAAAAAGGGAATAGAAATTTGGGTAATAAAATTATATTTTAAAAGTACGTGGATGAGAAAGTGTTATTAAACCATTGTTTTAGTGAGAAAAAGTCAGTTTACTCAGTAATATATACCTTTACCATCCATCATCAGCAAAAAGGAATTAAAAACAAATTTATTCTACAAAGACTTTGAGTTTGAGAAGGTAATTCATTATAGATTCTAATAAATTTTGATTCATGTACAATAATATCATAAATTTTGGGAAGATTGGAGTGTGGTGTACATTGAAGAATCTTCCTTTTGATAAAATGGGTATATGTATATATGATAATTGAATATATAATTAAATAAAACTAAAGAAGCAGCTTTGCAGAAGAGCAGTTAGTAGCACATTTCTTCCAGCAACATATCAATCCCTTGAAGCCTCCCTCTCTAGGCTGCGTAGTGTCCGATTCCCGTCTTTGCAAAACTCTAACGAACTCATCTGAGCTTAAACTTCCATCACGATTTGTATCAAACACATGGAATATTATGTCCACCAAGTTGTCGGTGATAGAGATCCCACATACCTGCAACTTCAATTAATTAATGCCACCAATATTGTAGAGTTAGCTAGAAAAAGATTAAATTATTATTCCACCTGTGATGCAGCTCTCTGAAAATCCTTCTTTGTTAACACCCCATTCGCTTTCCCGTAAGTGAAAATGGCTATAGACAAGAACTGCAATTTCTTACGAAGTTCTGCAAAAGCTTTAAATTCCTCAAATGTTATCCGAATGTTTCTAAGGTGTGGTTCATTGTTTAGTTCATCAACCCGATCAAGCAACTTGTTTATATGGCTAATGTCAGCCGATGCTACTACGGATAATGCAAAATCTTTAGCTGATATATTACCCCGTAATTTGCAGTCATAATGGGCGAACTCCAATTCTAGAATCTATGAAAATGAGAATTCTGTTTGTTAAAAGTCGAATATAAAATGATCAAAATATCAGAGAGAGGAATTAACACATACTTCATCATGCAAGTCTCTTAAAAATTGGACAAATCTTTCATGTTGTAGACATGTCTTGCCATCTTTACCAAAGAAGTACTCTACCAGGCCCCCGTTCTCCACAGGTTCCGCAACTTTGAACCCGACTCGCCGCCCATCCCTGTGGCGGGCGCCCTGTCTGTTTTGTGATCGCATCAAATTCATCACTTTCTTGAATTCCTCCCTGTCTATTTCTCTGTTAATACATCGATACATAAGCATATGAATTAGAGCGCAAACTTTAATAAATAAATGCCAATCAACTTGTTTGGGTATGAGATAAAATAAAAAAGACGAAGGAGAATTAACTTTGATTGAAGCACAAATGACTCACCCGTTGTTGTTAAGGTCAAACATTTTAAATGCTACAGAAAAGCTTGATTCAGGAATGCTGAGTAGTGTAACAAAAAAGATGTACCTGGCACATGAAAGTCCATTATATTACACACAAGTGGGAATAAAAGTGGTGAATTAAAGTGATCAAAGAGACGACGGTGTGTACTCTGGAAAAGATATGAGTCCATCATTGTTAGTGTCGAATAACATGAAAAATTTTGAAGGAGCGCAGTGTAACTCGCCAGGAACCCTTTCCCCTCTTAGGAATCCCTCTCTAACACGATTAGATTCACTTGGAGGAAATACAGGAACAATTGCTCGCATCAAGTCTGCCGGTGTCATAAGTACCTCTCCTGCATTGCTTCGAAAAGACGCGAAGTACTCGAAAACCTGCAAGTGCGATAAGGCAATTAATAACATTACATTAATTTAATGAACGACATGACAAATAATCTTTCCGCGGTGTATATATACCTTTTCTGGAGGACTCTGCATCCTAATCCGTTTTTCATAATTGAAAAAAATTCTTCTCCTGTATGCATCTGGAAAAGTAAGACAAATTGATAAACATTGATCCAGTAATATCCACTATAACAGAGATTTATGTATGTGGACATCTAAATGCTAAGGATTGCAAATTGTAACTCTCTATGTAATGCAAATATATATATATATATAAATTGGTTAATGGTATTACCTCCGAACAGAAACTTGCCATTCTTCTCAGGTACTGAATGTCGAAGTTGGTCGTCATCTTCTGCCCATGCCTCTTTCGGAGAATCAGCTAACACGTTAGGCGGGGAAAACCAATACAAAAAACCCAAACTTATTGACCCAGCAACAACAACCCTAGAAGATAATGATCTTAATTGTTTCAAAAATGTATCTCCACTCTTATTCTGATCACCAGAGGAGGATGAGGTGAAGCTTTGAGACTGGTTGAGACATGGACGAGTGACGGTCAGCCGCTGATTATAGGCAATAGATAGTGAGGATTTTCTGAGTGAAGCCCAAGAAAACATAGTCTGGTTCTTGTCAGAACACACAGAGATTGATTGTGGGACAAAAGCGCAAATGATAAAATACAAATTTGAGTGGAGATGGAATGAAGTACGGATTTCGTTGACCGGGAAATACGGGTCTTCTTTTTATTAACGGTTTGACTGAGATTTAGTTTATGACGCTCGCCATTTTCAAAAGTTAGTTGATATCCAATTAAAGGTTGTCCTCTATCTTTCATATATGTACAACAGAAACATAATAATTTACAATTTCCTTGACTTCTTTTATTATTTTCGTTAGTATCAACATATTCCAAAAAGCCATGTAATACCATTAATAATGAGAAAATTATGAATGCTTTTGAATTGATAAGCTTTAGTATTATTTGTTTATTATTATGTATTATGCAAAGTCTTTCTCCTCGCGCTCAAGCTCAAGCTTAGGTTGGGGCCGCTTCGCCTCAAACTCCATTAATAGAGGCACTTGAGAGATTTGACCCATAGACTCCTCTCCAACCGAGTACCAGGTACAAGGCACTTTTGCACTCAGCTATACATAAACTACAGATTTTGTTGTCAATCATTAAGTAATGCCTCTGGAATTTCATTTAGACCTCTCAACCACCATGTTCTGTAAAGGGCTCTTCGTCAGAGCATGTGCGTTTGTACTATAATTTCTCTTTATTTTCATACTTAAATTGCCACCTTTTACAGCTTTATCTTTCCTTTCAAGTTCAGTATTAATTAAATTTGGTTTTGGCCTGCAGACTTGTTGATCATTAAAATAGATCCACATCCACTCAACTTATAGTATCGATAATAGTGCTCCTGTTGAGCGGTGTCAACCTGCAAAGTTTTTCAAAGCCAGGCTCCAATTCTCTCCAAATTAATCTGATAGGATAATTAGGGTAGTATAGTGACTGATATTATCATCAAGACAGCTCATAATCATTAATACACAACAATTTTCTTTTGCAATAGTAGACACATCTTGTTTATCCTTTCATTTCCATTTATAATTATCCATCAGCGTGCAGTAGACTTTGATGTGCATGAATGGCCTGTCAATTTTTGGGACCCTGAAGAGCCTCTAATTATCAGTATTTTATCAGTCAGCATGCTTATAGTATCATCTAATGTACCATCAAAAGCTTCCTTCTCTCTCTCTGACTTCTAGTTGAAGACGGCAAATATAGTAAAAGAGGAAATTAATATGGGTTTTCAAATTCCAACTCTTGGAACCGTTTCTGACTTTAAGCCCTGCATATCTAATTTTTACCTACCACGATTATGTTTCAACCAAAACAGAGAAAATGACATTAATGAAATGCATTTAGACTTTGATCTGTTTATTCGCACTATATGTTTAGGTAGGTTATTGGATTTAATATGCTTGAATACCAGCTACTTTTGGGCCCTTGCTCCCCAGAGAACTTGACTTTTGACAATGTAAAGTTCCAATTTCTAATTTATTTTACCTCATAGATGATATGTTTGACTATTTCTGCTCCTATAATAATATTACAGTTCGTAACTGTAAAGATCCCCTCCAAACTTTGTAAATTTTCAAAAAAAAAGTAAGTTTTAAGCCAGCCTTAATTTACCTTCTGATAGCAAATGCGCTGATAATGTAAGTATTTTCCTTGCGAGTAAGAAGCATATTTGGTTAATCAACTTCAAGAAAGAAAAAAAAGGCCTTTTTACGATTGAGAAGTAATCAATTACTGTACACAAGATAGAGTAAGTTCCTAACTTCCACAATTTCGGTTTATGTCACTCTCAATCACTCAACTAAGATACAAATTTTGATAAAGAGAGATACTCTCAATCTTTCCCATACTTACCCACCACATTAATTGACTTACTCTTCACCCTCTTATCCTCTTTCTCTTCTTTTTGTATTATTATATGTGTCTAGCTCGCTCTAGTAGTCTAGGACCACTTCCACTCACATGTATATATGAGCACCCAATGAGATTACCATCCATCTCTCACACTAGCTAGCCATGGATTGGTTCTCTTGGTTATCAAAGAGCAGCCTTGACCCATCACTAATATATGAATACGGCCTTGCGTTTGCTCGCAATGAGCTCCAAAAGGAGGATTTAACCTACTTCAACCATGAGTTTCTCCAGAGTATGGGCATTTCAGTGGCCAAGCATAGGCTAGAAATACTGAAGCTTGCCAGGAAGGAAGTTCGAGGAGGTCCTAACACCCTTTGCAGGCTTATTTTGGCAATCAACAACACCAAGAAAAAGATTGGCAAGCGTATTAACAAGTGGGTTTTCCACGAAGTTGGATCGACAAAGGCCTTGCCGGAGCCACCCCCACCCTCTCGTTACCAAGAGCATTGGAAAGGAGCATTAACAAGGAAGAACAAGAGTGAAAAGGAGTTTCAGGCAGAGAAACAGAAGCCAATCAAAACCATGAGGATAGCAAAATCTGGGCCACTGCCATTGGTGCAAGACAAGTTGATTGTCACCAATAGAAGCTTGAAGTTGTCTGGCCCTCTGGATAGTAACATGCAAGAGAGATTGTTGTTCACCTACAGAAGCCCAATATCTTCTGGGCCTCTGGATGGACGTATGTACGCAAATAAAAGTCCAAAGTTATCTGGGCCTATGGATAGACGGCCTCCAAGCCCAAGGATATATACAGACAACAGCAACACCAAGGAAAACTTGGGTGGTGGTTATGATGATCATTCACTATGGCCAGCTCTTTTTCAAGATCTGAAACCTACATGATCCAGTTTTGTCTGAAATTTTAGCAAATGCTCTAGTATTGTTTCTTAAATTAGAGATAAACCTTGTGTGCTTCGTACCACTTTCATCTATATATATATATATATATGATTAAGATGTAGTTAAAGATATTTCTTGCACGTTATATCCATGGTTGAATTGTTGCGAGGTAATGCATTTTCCAGCGTGTGGACTTGTGAGTAACATATAGAAGTTATAGATGGTTGAATACTGTCCACACTCCACAGTAGTAGGATGTTCATGCTCCTCAAATTCTTCATCTTCTTCTTTTTAATGATTTGGCAATGCAAATTTTTATTACCCATATAAATATACAACCCTATTTTGCAATGGTGACTGATTCTGAGTTTACAAATATTTGGCCAGATAGCAAAGGATGTTCTTTTACCATGTTACAATTTACAAACACATACAGTTTTTTTTCTTTTCTTCACATCTCTGTCTCGTTCTTGAGTACTGAACAAGAAGCAGTTGAGATCTACATGCATTGATTAGCCGCTTCAATAAAGATTCATAACTACCACTACAGCTTCTACATCTCTTAATAAAGTAGTATAGTCTACAAAATAGGGCCACCAGAACATGTCAACCCTGCTGCGAAAGTAAAAAACTTCTACACCATAGACATTCAAGCTAGTCTTCCAGATGATTATTAGCTGAAGAGCATGTTTCAGTTTTACCATGACCAATACATAAAAACAATTATTAGATCGCAAACATATTCTACAAAGCTATACCATATACATGTTATAGCAATCGCACACACTTAAATATTCACTTTTTAATTGTATCAGTATTTATGATCTGCTGAGTTCATGTTTGGCACTTCGTCAGAACTGCAATGCTGATGAGTACCTCAACTATGACGTGCTCCAACAAAATAGCTTATAAAGTTTTGTAGCTTCCATGATCCACTTCAATCTTCTCAATTATTTGAGCTCTGAGGCAACCTGAAGGAACCCCCAGAATAAAGCATTTGGTAAACAGGTCTTATTCTAACATTTAAGATGATGCCCAAGATGGATCCTGCACCACAGACACCAGCCAGAACCAAGAAGGTGATCCTGAAGCAATTGGGACCCACGCAAGATACATTGGGATTGAGCAGATTAGTTCCATGCTGCTTTGCTGCTTCATTATCATATATATACCCTGCTAGGAGGCCAGAGAAAAGAAATGCACCAAGAGGATTTCCTAATGACATGAAGTTATAGAATATACCAAAATGCTTCAAGCCGAAAAGCTCAGAGACAGTTGGAATCATAATAGAGAACTGAACACCATAGCAGATCCCAAGTAATGCAGTTGCAGCAAAAAGAGTACCGTCAATAGCAGAAGCAAACAGTAGGTACGTAATGATCATGATTACTTGAGTGCAAGTCATCCAGATTGTACGGGGAATTGCTTTTGACCTGCTAGCAACAAAAACACCCATAAATTTATGATGAACATAAAAACAAAAAGAAATAATAGACATTGTTACAATATGCTATATGTTTAGGGTGCCTCCAGAATTAAGTTCAACTAATGATGACAAGGATCCAATCATTCTGCTATAGAAAAATCTTAGAAAGACTACGAGCTGAATTAACACTTGTCACATGGTATGCTTAAAAATGAAACTGGAATGCTAGACTGACTCTGTATTTTCAATGTTTAAACCACATATTTAGAATAGGAAATCATTTCAATAGTCCATGGCTCAAATATTGAACTTTGTGGAAGTTCAAAGTCATTTACTTGCCTCTTATCTTTTCATCTCATACCTTTTTTTGGTTAAGTTCATCTCATACTTATCTGACAAACTTTTGCCACTGAAGCAAAGAACCAGAAGGAAAGGCTAATATACTGATGATGCATCAATAATACATGTATTTACTCTGACCGTACTGACCTGACAAAATGTTCAGAAATAATTCCCCCACCAAGTCGACCCACAAAGTTACAAAAACTGAAGAGAGACAACAAGATTGTTGTATCATGCACACCTTGTGCAATCCCTATTTGAGCCAGATTATTGAGAACTGTTACTCCAGAGCCAACTCCAACAAAATAAACTAAGAAAAGAAGCCAGAAATCTGCCTTGATTACAGCTTCTCTAAACTTGAAATCTTCCCCTCTTTTGGGGCGCCTCTTCTTCTTAACCGCACCCTCACCTTCAGCAAGAAGCATAGCAACCTCTGACATATCATTGCTCTCGTGAAAGCTTCTTAAGTCTGTTGTTGATGAAGATGGCTCCAGCAGTGGCTCTGTTTTGTCTGCATTTCCTCCTTGATTTGAACAGTCCAATGACCCAAATGGTTGGTCAAGTATCTCTGATTTGCTAGTTCTCTTTCGGAAAAATGTCATCTTTACAGGAATAGCCAGAGGAGCCATGAGAAGGATGATCATTGTAGCAAGACAAGCATAAGACATTGAGGCACTTAAATGAAACATATGATCCAATACTATGGTTGTTAGAATAAAGAAGCCAAGCACAACACTAGCTATTTGGGTGAAAAGAAAGTGTCCATGCTCTTTGGAGTCTTCACCAGAAGCTGGAGTACAAGGCCTAACAAAATACATCATCATGAAGCATAGAATAGGAACCCCCAGTGCAAGGAACAGCAATAGCTTGGAAGAGGAATTATTGAGCAGCATACTATAAATTTCAGTAAATACAGCAGCACTGAGTCCCCCATAACCTTTGAGAATACCAGCGACAGTGCCTCGACTGAAAGGGAAGTTTCTCATGTTGGTTACAAGCACAGCCGTGCTCAGCCAAGCACTACTGTTGGTGGCAACACAAAGTGCAATCCATAACTGTGAAATCACAAAGGAAAGATGATTTATAAACTTATAATAGTAACTTATAGTAGAAAGTTTCCGCTAGCTTTATTATAGAACCTCAAATAACTATTGCCAGCACCCAAATCTCCACATATCTGACTTCCAAAGTAACTTATGGTAAGATATAACTGAGAAGTTTCACAAAAAAAAATAAAAAAATAAAAAAATGGTTGTTTTTTCTTGCTTGTAACATCTCATGGCCATAAATGACTCAACTTGATTAAGCCTCAAACTTTCGGTTTGGGTAGAATAAACATCAAATATTCAAGTAACTAATATAAAGTCACAAACTTTATGAAATTTCATTTTACTCTTTAAAAACAATCAGAAAAAATGTAGAAAGACTCTTTGCAAAACTTCTGTTAGTGTAGCAAATATATAGGCTAATTGATGATGAAAATTGGGTTTAGTAAAATTGGCATAAAGTGCACATGCTGTGATAGAGAGTGGGAGATCACATAATCAACATGAAAGGCAGGCTTGAGCATGTAGAGTCATTTACTCATGCTTCAAACATAAAATATATTTTCTTCAATCATTTATTGAGGTCTCCCTTACTTATACCTCACACATCTGCCACTACATTTAGAATTAAGCTTACGTTTCAGAAGGCAATTCCTACTAATCATGTTGCAAGCTTTCAACTTCAGAGTTTGAAATAATGAATATTTCAGATTCCCAAAGCTGGTTACTAGGTTGAATAACTGCTTAGCTGAGAAAGTAAAAAAGCTTAAGCTGTCTCACATATGGTGAAACAAAGAATCAAGAATTAATCGCACAATTTAGAGATTCAGGGATGAAGTTACCAAAAAAATAAAAAGTAATTTCAGATGATAAAACTAGTTCAAATTGAGACAAATATGGAGCTTAGCCAACTCTATTCCACAAAAAATCTAACAAGATCAATGAGATCAAGTAAACCTCTCTTGAGGCTTTTTACTAACACACACCTTCCTGCTCTGATTTCATGCAACAAACTAAACCTATTATATGCAGAGTCCAACAATAGCCAAGGCAAAGATCTATTATAACTAAGTTGGATGTAAAACCCCTTGAGGAACCATTGTTAAGCACAAAGAGTGCTGCAATAAAGTAGGCAAAGTTTTAATCTTTGTTCATCCTTGTCTATCAAAATTTATCAAAAATTAAAAGGTTAAGAAACAGTAGATAAAATAGATATATCATTTAGAATACAAATACAAATAATTATTAGGCAAAGAAGAAAAATATTTAAAAACCACAGATCAACAACAAATCCAGTATAATCTGAAGCCAAATGCTGGAAACTACAAATATGACAGTGAAAAGTCACTGAAGCCCAGATGCAAAGATCGCTCTCTCTTGAGAAACTCCTATCAATATTACATAAAGGAAAACATAAAATAGTTGGGGTGAGATGGAAGATTTAAAGACACAGAAAAATGAACTCACCAACCAATAAGGGAGGGACTCAACAGTGCGAGTGACAGCAAGCCAGATAACAGCATAACCAAAGAAGCAAGCAAGAGAACCAATGAAGAGAACAAGCCAAGGAGGTAATTTGTTTGAGGCAATACCGGGAAGGAGGCCAACGTTTTCGCCAATATCATTAGCAACACCAAGCATTGTGAGTTGGTGTTGGCTAAAGCCAAGCACTGATTTCAAAGAATGGGAATAAAGAGGGAAGTTGTATGCATTCCCCGAAGCTATTTGAAGCCAAACTGCTGCTCCTAGACCCACCCATGGTGGTCTGCTTCCTGCTTTCAGGCTTACCATTGATGCTTGGTCAGGAGCTTACTAGTTTCTTCGTATTATTGAATCTTGAACAATAGAGTTTCTTTATTGATTTATTATGGAAAGAGATAGTGTGTTGGCATTAGTTTGTAAGTGTGTTGATGACATGTCATTTGGACACCTTTGCAGCTGCTACTCTGTTTTGTTCACGTCAACTTCTTTGTTTTATCTTTTTCTGCTTCCTCAGGGGACTGTTCTTTATATAAATAGAGGATTAAAATCTCATACAATGTCTATCTCTGCCCCAAAATTGAAGCTCAGCTCATTGGGTGTGTTGTTATCAAATCATGCTACTATGTTTATGGCAAACTTAGAAATCACGCGTATAGACTATAGAGAGCCGGATTTTGTTTGGATTTGCTTACAAGTTCTCCTCCTCATTTGCATAGTACGTTTTGGATTTGGAATCTATCTCATGGTCATTTCCGCCTCTTTTGGTTGCCTTTGTCAGTTACGAAGTTTCCAAAAATGGCCCATTTTCAAATTAAAATGACAATTAACTTATCAACTGAAATGAGGCAAATATTACATCATTCCAAGTTTCAGCCATTTGAGCAGAGGAACCAATACACCAAATTGGCTTCCTTATCGGTGCCGGCTACTTATAGCAATAGAATTTGAATTTTTACAAGTTATTCTTTTTCAATGTCGACATAAGCTTTCTTAGCAGCTTAACTTTAAACATGTCCATTTGTACATCGAACTTAGTAGGAAATATAAAATCTATCAAGTTATTGTAATATGATGAATTGGAGAAAACAGAGAAATTAGGGAAAAAGTTATATTGTTCATTCATTCAATTAGAGTGTATTACAACTGTATCCCATCTCTTGTACTGTTGCAGCTAATACAAAAGTGAAGTTAACTGATCAACCATCTAACTAACTATCTAACCCAACTAAGTCACAATTAACTTTGTACAAAAATAACTATATATGTACAGTATATGCATATATTCAATACCCCTAAACACCACCACCACCCCCCCACCCAAGAAGTTGGTGGGTAAAAGAGGTCAAGAACTCCCAACTTGTGCAAGAGATGGTGACAAGACTTGTTGCCAAGGGCCTTTGTAAAGAGATCAGCTAGCTGTTCAGAACTAGGAATGTAGGGCAGTCTTGATCAACCCATCATTTAGCTTCTCACGAACAATGCGATAATCAATGTCAATATGTTTCATACGCTCATGAAACATGGAATTAGAAGTAATGTGATTGGCAGCCTAACTATCGCAATGCAATGTGACAGGAGTTAGATGAGAAAAACCAAGATCAGCAAGAAGTTGTGTGAGCCAAATAATTTCACAAACCGTAGATGCCATAACCCTATACTCAGCTTTAGAGGAAGGCTTAGATATAGTAGCTTGCCTCTTGGACTTCCAAGAAATGAGAGAACCACCAAGAAAAATGCAATATCCAGTGACAGATTTTCAAGTCATAAGACAAGCACCCCAGTCTGAATCACTGTAAGCCAGCAGCTTCATGGGATTGTGAGTAGGAAAAAACAAGCCTAAACGAGGAGCATTTTTTATGTATTTAACAACCTTGAGAGCTGCAGCTAGATGGGACTCTTTGGGACTATGCATAAATTGACTTAGCAGGTTGACATAATAGCAAATATTAGGCCTGGTCATGCATAGGTACAACAACTTTCCAATCAATCTTTGAAAAATAGTAGTGTCAGATAATGGTGGATCATCAACATCATTGAGTAACTGATCATAGGCTTTAGAAGTAAATTTCAAATTCTGGTCCATAGGAATCAAAGATGGTTTAGAGCACGAAAGACCAGATTCTGATATTAGTTCTAGGGCATACTTTATTTGGCAAATACTTATGCCTTTAGATGATCTTGCTACCTCAAAGCCTAAGAAATATCTTAAAAGGCCTAAATCTTTCAACTTGAAATTGGAGTGTAATAACTCTTTTGTTTGCTGAATCATGGCTGAACTATTCCCTATGATGACTATGTCATCCACATAAAATAGTATCATCACCATAGAAGAATTGTCCCTTTTAACAAAAAGAGAATAATTAGATTTTGATTGGTAAAAACCTCCAAATAATAGGGTTGTTGTAAGCTTATGATTTCAAGCTCTAGAAGCTTGTTTTAGCCCATAAAGAGACTTATGGAGCTTACGAACAAGATGTTCCCTCTCCCACCCTCCCACCCCCCCCAACACACACACACACACACACACACACACACACAACTTAGCAAACCCTTAGGGCAAATTCATATAAATCTATTCTTGCAAATCCCCTTGAAAAAAAGCATTGTCTACATGTAGCTGGTAAAGAGGTCATTGATGCATAGAAGCTAAGGCTAAAATAGCACCACTGTGACCATTTTTACAACTGGAGAGAAAGTTTCATCATAATCTATGCTAGCCTTTTAAGTGTAACCCTTAGCTACTAGGCATGCCTTTTACCTTTCTAAAAAGCCATCAGCTTTGTATTTAAGTTTGTAAACCCACTTACAACCAATGGGAACTTTGCCAAGAGATAGGGGAACTAAAGACCAAATATGATTGAGTTCTAAAGCCTAAATTTCTTTTTTCATAGCATCAATCCAATTTTGGTTTTCAGAAGCTTGGGTGAAACTAGTAGGCTCAGTAAGAAAGGAAAAATTGGACAAAAAAGCCTTGTAAGAACTGGAAATTTGGTTATAAGAAAGGTAATTAATTATGGGGTATTTGATTAGTTTAGCTGAGGAAGTGTTTGGGAGAGTAGGACATACAAAATCATATGTCCAAAGTGGGGGTTTGGTAAGCCTGGTGGATTTTCTAGAAGGGACCAGAATAGGTTGAGAAATTGGTGTAGAGGTCATATGAGAATCAAGGTTTATAGGACTAGAACTAGGTTCAGCATGTTAGAGGTGTATAGGATTAGAATTAGGTTCTGTACTTTGGACAATTGGTGATACATTATCAGGGGATGAAACAAAAGAAGGAAAATTTGTTTCTAATTCTAAGAAGTTAGAATGAGTGGAAAATGGAGGTTGTGATAGTGTATTCCAAGTAAAAGGAAATAAGTGTTCATAAAAGACAACATCCCTAGTGACATGAATTAAATGAGATTCTAAAGCATAAAGAACATAACCTTTTTGAGTTAAGGAATATCCTAGAAAAACAGAAGGTTTAGACCTTGGAGACAACTTATCTTTTGAAGTGAGAATGGTAGAATATGCCAAGGAATCAAACACCTGTAAATGATCCAGTTTAGGTGGTTTTCCATAAAAAAATTCATAAGGGGAAAGACCTTTAAAAAGTGAAATGGGAAGTCTATTTATAAGATAGACTACCATTTGAACACAATAACCCCAAAAGTGGTTTGGGACTTTAGACTGAAATTTTAAAGCTCTTGCAACCTCTAAAATGTGTTTATGTTTTCTCTCAACCACACCATTTTGTTGAGGGGAATATATACAAGAACTTTGATGGATTATCCCTTTATTAGTGAATAAATCATGACAATTTTGATTAAAAAATTCCAAGCCATTGTCTGTCCTAATGCATTTGGGAGTCATGTGAAATTGGTTTTGGACCATTTGAAGAAAATGCTTAATGTTTTGAAAAGAATCTAATTTGTATTGCATAAGAAACACCAAAGTGACCCAAGAGTGATCATCTACAATTGTAAGGAAGTACATAGCATTCTCGTGAGTTGATGTTTTGTATGGACCCCAAACATCCATATGTAAAAGGTCAAAAACTTGGTCAATATGTGAAGTATGTTTGAGAAATGGAACTCTTGTTTGACAATGATGAGGATGAAATATTTTTAACTCATGATGTATAAGAGGCAAAACAGAATAAGAAACATGTCACAATCTTTGATGCCAATGCTCAACATTGTTCAATTTATGAGTGTTAGATGACACTAAAGAATCAGATGAAGCACAATTTTTATTTGAGTTCAAAACAGAATTGACAACAGCAGAATTAGCAACATTACAAATCGATTTATTCAACCTTATTTTTGAAAGTGAATCAAAATAGTATAACCCTTGGCTATGTCTACCAATCCGCTTCAACTTGCCATTCCAAAGATCTTGGATTAGACAAAATTGGGGTATAAAGTAATGGAGCAATTGCTGGAAGCAGTGAACTTAGAAACTGAAAGTAAGTTGTACTTAAAATCTGGTAAATGCAAAACATTTGTTAAGTGAACACCACCATCCAAAATAACAGAACCTATGTGTTTAATGTGAGTCTCAGTGCCATTTGGTAAACCTACAGGTGAATGTGAAGATGATGATGTGGCAATAGAGGAATCCAAACTAGAAAAACTATGTGTCATATGGTCTATAGCCTCTGAATCTATAATGCAATTATGATTATCAAGACAGGAATGTAAGGCTGAAAAAGTACCTGCAAGATTTGCAATCGGGGGAACAATATTTTCTTTTCCTAGCAACTGAAGGATCTGACTGTATTGCTTTACTGACAATATCAGTCCAAAAGGAGTGATAGAATTCTCAGAACTTTGATTCGAACCTTGAGACTACACTTGATTAGTAGAAAACTTAGCCTTCGAATTATTCTTCCCTTTAGTAAACTGGTAGTCAACAGGATACCCATGCAATTTGTAGCAGGTCTCCCTCTTGTGTCCAGAAATATGACAGTACTCACATTCAATGTGAAGCTTCTTCCATTTATACTTTGGATTTTGACTCTGAGTTCTTGAATTATTTTGAGCATAGAGGGTAGTAGTGACTTCAGAGTTGATGTTAATGCCAGATAATATCTTTTGGCTTTCATCCTAATTAACTACGAAATAGGCCTATTTGACAGAGGGCAATGACAACATAAGCAAAATCTAACTACGTACCATGGAGTAAGAGTCATTAAGCCCCATTAGAAATTGTATCAACTTTTGCTGATTCAGGTGATCAAGATACGCCTTAGTTGAAGCACTATTTGGTGAAGGTAGATTGACCAAAGAATTAAGTTCATCCTAAAGAGATTTGAGCTTGTTGTAATAAATTGCCACTATATTCATTCCTTGTGTAAGATTAGCAATCTCACAATGTATACCAGACACTCTAGTCTCGTTGACTTTGTGATATTGCTCTTTGAAAGTTTTAAACCCTTATCATGTTGATTAAAACTTATGCGGA